GACATAATATACCTCTGTAAATAAATACAATTTAAATTAACGTCTTGTGCACTTCATGTGAATCATGGCGGAATATCATGTGAAGTCCACTTCGCAGGGCACTTACTGTCGAATAAGACAACGCTTGAATGCTGCTGCCTGAACAAGAAACTTCCTTACTGAAGGGAAAGTGTTGACTGGTGTCAATATCTCGCGGATCCCCCGAATCTCCACCAAATTCGGGGGATCCCTTCAGCTCGAGGAGCCCTCTCAAACGCCACTCTCCGCGTGTCGGTAGCCCCCCGGGATCGCCAGATCGGTCGGCGCACGACCGCAAATTTAACTGCCCGTAACTCCCGGACCACGGGGGCTATCAACGCAGGGGTGATCTCATTCGAAATGGGGCCTCGAGGCGTACACTCGATTCTGCGTTCGAGAGGGTTCCTCGAACTGAAGGAATCCCCCGAATTTGGTGCGGATCTGCCGCGCGCTGTTACAGAGATATGGCCGTTCAAATTTTCAATGGTTTCCATACACTTAAGCTTTAAAGCGTTTCATCCAGGTTGCCAGTAGCAAACAATGGAGCGCACTCTGCTGGAAAAACTACATAATTACACCATTTACAAGCATTTTATCTGCGTTTTATGTTCTGTAAAAAAAAATTCATATCGGCGGCATATTCACCGATACCGATATATCTGCGACAGGCTCATTGGCCGATGAAATCGGTAAAACTATATATCGGTCAGCTCTAATTGTAATGTTATCTTAATTATGAATACATTGGTTTGTAGTGCAAACAGTTTTACCGTTTACTGCACGTTGTTATTCTTATTTCTCTATAGTGGCTAATGAACCGGAAGTCTCACCCATAGGCTTACTTCCGCATTGAAGAAAAGGGTGGATAGCTCCAGTTATTGTTCCGATAGCATTCATTAACTGGGTGATTAGCTTAAATGTGTGATAATCAACAGCATGTTGCACATAACAACACTTGGGCATCAAGTTGAAAATAGGCCAGACTATATGTATTTTTAAGTATGTTAAGGCATTTGACTGCAATTTTATGTGACTTGTTTGATATGGGCAAAAAGAAAACTGTTTGTTCATTCTGTTTGCTTGATTGCATGGCTGATTTTTAAGGTTTTATTTATTTTTAGATTTATTAAAAGGATAACCATTCATGTCGTAATTGTTATTAGGGATGTAACAATTCACGTAACTCACGATGCGATAGGATTCATGATACTGGTTTCATAATATGATTTTTTTCAGAAATCTCTTCATATAAACAAACTAAGGCTTTGTCTGTGCTCTTTCCATTTGAAATTATAAGCAACCACTGCTTTCTAATGATGATTCAAATTAGAGATGCACTGCAATGTTACTTTATTGCATACTTTATATATTTTGCACTGCCGATTACGATTTCCATTTTTTTGTTAGTGTGATCTGCCAATTATGATTTTCTTTCTAAGAACTATAATTATATATAACAACACCAAAAAGCACTATTTAACCAGAGCGAATGAGACGTGTGTGTGTGTGTTTGAGCGAGAGAAGGGGTCATCGGAGAGAAGAGAGCTAGAATGCGCTGCTGGCGTTATTGCCTGTGCCGCTGGTAACGAAACGGATCGGCTCTAAATCAGAAAGAAGTGAGACTGACTGGCCAATCACCAATCCAAGCCGATCATGAGGAAAATCGTCCGATTCCGATCCCTGGCCGATTGATCGGTGCATCTCTAGATTCAAACAAAGTTTCAAACAAAGCTGTATACTTGCAGCATGAGCAGTTTTTGATTAAAATTTGATTGCATATTTTTGAAATTTGAGGCAAAAACAGAATGGTCTGACTTTATACTACCTAAAACTTATATGAATGAAACAAAAACAGCAGACAGGCTGCAAAAGAGCGCAGATTCACTCTCTGACATCAGGTGGTGCTTATTACCACTGTAAACAAAGCAGCGATGCACTTATAAACACTACTTTAATATACATTATACAGAGAGGAGATGAAATGAAAATACCATCTAAACATTTTTGAAGACAGTCAGTTCCCCTCAGAGATGCATTCATATAAACCCCCACACCCAGTTGTATCGCAATTCATTTAACACCTCAACCGACTTGAATCGTCAAATTTTCATTGATTTTCAACCGGCTCAGAGGGCATCGCTACATCCTTAATTGTCATCTTTGACAATACTGCACATACAAAACAGTCTAAATTCGAAACTTCCACTAATTTTATTGGTTCCCTTGATGAATCCCTGTTAGACTGTTTCCCGTATAAACTCTGTCTTCTGCTGATATGGACTAGCTAGTTCTGCAAGGCTTCTGGATGCGCTTGGTTGTTTCCACCTGATATCTAACATCAGCTCAGACTAATTCTTCAGCATCTGCCTTTTTTGTTTTCCCTTATATGCTGCAAATGAGCTAGAGGATGAAGAACCTGCGGGGGTCTCGAGCCAAAGAAGAAACTAAACACAAACAGACGAGGAATCTGCCGAATTCAAACGACAGAAAGAGAAAACGCACTCGTTCGTCGCAGTCTGAAAATCAGGGTTCTGAAGAAGGTCGTTTCCATCAGGATCTGACCTCTCAGGGCATTAGAGGAGAGAAGGTTTGGTTCAACCGCAGCATATATGAGCAGGCCAACGACGCTTATCAATCCTTGTTGAGTGCAGGGATCGGGACACCTCCGGTTTCGTCCTCCTCAAAAGATCGAATTCCCTGTACCCTGGTCTTCAGGGCTAAACGCAACTGTGTGCAACAACTGCAAGAGGAGGAGAACCAAACTTACACCCGTTCCTATGCGTCACGTCAACAGCAGCAGGGTTCGACGCACCAGCGCTCCTCGTCTGAACCCGATCGGCAGCTCCCAAAAAGTAGCAGGAAGAGGGTCTTCTCTGAGACCAAACGCACCCCTCAGAAAAGGGACAAGTATGGCTAGTTTAGGGGCATGGGACCGTTTACTTTAAGGAACTGCCTTCTCATTTAGTGAACGGTGTGTTTTGTGAGTTTGTAGATTTTATTAAATATTTTTCACCTTTCAAAAGCCTCAACCTGGTTTGTGTCACCATTGGCTGCTGGGTGAAAGCTGATCGGTGTGAAACTAATCCGAGGGCTTTGGCACGCAAAATCTGTCCCATTGTCTGCAGCCTGTGTCAGCGAAAAAATAAATGAAAGGAGTTTTAGTGGTTGAGTGGACTTTAACAATCAATCCAAATAACCGTTCTACAAAATCTATGTGAATGCAAGACCTGTACAACATAATTAAGAGTTTTTCCTGCATCATAAAGCTGTTTTTTATGGGTTGTATGAGTTTACTATCGATCCTCTGCAGTCTTCAATTTATCGTTCTGAATAACTGATTCTGACTTTGACAGTAAATGCCTGTTCACGGCAAGAATGAAATTGTTAGATCAGAACGAGTAAGTAATGAAGGGTTCACAACAAGGGGTCGTTGACTTGCTTGATTACAAGATGCAATGCATCTCACAATAGATTTTACTCGCTAGATAATATTATTTTGACTTGCTTAAAGTAGTGACTGAATGTATGGAAATGTACGGTATAATGAATGACAGATGTTTGTATAAACTGGTGATAGGTTGGTTTCAGTAGGCATAGTATAAATATATTGTCAATAAACATTCCCTTTTTGTCAGCATATTGTTCATGTAAGGTTTTTTTTATTGCTTGTTTGTTTATTATGGCATCTATGTTCTTTGTTCTCCGATAGCAACAACATCAGTAAAATTATTTGCACTAGCTATTTGCTAGAAGTCTGTTGCAGCTGCTATAATTAAGCCAGCGGTTAGTTAGTTTAACCTTGCTCCGTAAGTTTTGTTTTTCCTATTTATTCAGAACTGTTTAAACATTTGTGTGAAGGCAGGCATCTTTGTGCAAACAGGGAACGGGCTCTTTCAACTTTTCTGAGATTCCGACATTGTTTATTTGTTTTTATTTAAATGCATTTTTAAAAAATATTTTCAATATGTAAACTAAAACACTATTTAATTGTATTGAGTGCAAAAAAAAAAGAGCTTGAATGTGGGAAAATCTCTAATAATGATTTCTGTACTGAAATTATAATTGTAAGGATCCAAATTCAAGAGGACTAATAGAAAATAAACATTTCTGTAACCACTATATGGCCATAATGTGTGGCAATATAGTGGAGGATATATGGTTTCATATATATGGATGGTACTTGGCTAGCTCGGCTTGATTTATATTTGCTTATGTTTAAGGCTTTTTGCACACTCCTGAATTAATTACATTACAAATTAATGAAAGACTTGCATTTTAATTGCTTTTTCCCTCCCCCCTGCGTTTTTCTAAAGCTCTATGCTTGCTCTTTGACGCACAAACTCTCACGTCTAATTTTTCTTGTGTTTTTAGCATCACAATGAGTGGACTTCAGGGACTCGCCCAGGAGAACATCTGGTTTGACAAGTCCACATACGATGAGGCTGAGAGACGCTTCTACGAGGGCACGAACGGCATCCCTCAGACATCTCAGGTACTGCCCCCTACAGACCCGGATGTCAGAGCAAAGCACAATGAGGGTCTAAAATTTTCTCATTTGGGTTTTGACACAAACTGGTAATTGTCTCGATTAATGAGGGTGACCGAGTTCTCACGGAGAGGCATGAGTTCCTGGTTACTCAGCTGCTGTACGTCCATCTATCATCTGTTTTTCCAGGCGTCTGCCTTTTCTTTAAGCTTCTATGCTGAATAGTCTGCACTGACAGCGCTTCTGTACGCACCTGTGTATTTTTGTTTGCTTGCTTGCTCACTCTCTGCCCCTTGCTGGTTTGTTTGACATGGGCATTTTACCCCGCTGTACCCTTCCAGGAGAGAGATGCTAGTGCCATTCTGTAGGACATTGCTAAAGCCCGACAGAATATCCAGCAATCCCTAGCCGGAGTAAGTACTGCCCCCAAAATATGAAAGAAATCTCATTATTGGAGCATACTGAATTTGTACTGTAATCTTCTTGTGATGCGCATTTAACTAGAGTGATTACTGACGCTCAATAACTGTCGTCCTGCATGGGACCAGTTTGAAGGGCTGATTTAATTCCACTTCATGAAGCTCTAACCAAGGTGGAGGTGAAATTAACAGTTTTTTAGTTCAGCTGCCGATCACCCACAAGACTGGAGCTACAGTACAAACACTTGCCCTCCAAAAATATCCCTGTGCTATTTAATTATGTTTACAGAACCCCCTCTGTGCCCCTGGCAGGGAGAAAAAAAATCAGCTGTAGTTATGGATTAGTAAACTGTACATGGAGATTACTAACCCATGTACACAATTTATGAACTGTATAAGGATTTGGAGTGGTGGCTGATTTGATAAACTGTAAAAATATCTTTGTGACTATAATTTTATTAAAGAAATAGTTCACCCTAAAATGACAATTTGCTAAGATGTAGATGAGTTTGTTTCTACATCGGAACAGATTTGGAGAAATGTAGCATTACATCAGTTGCTCACCAATGGATCATCTGCAGTGAATGAGTGCCGTCAGAATAAGAGTCCAAACAGCTGATAAAAACATCACAATAATCCACACCACTCCAGTCCACCTTCAATTAACATCTTGTGAAGCCAAAAGCTCTGTGTTTGTAAGAAACAAATACAACCCCAATTCCAGAGAAGTTGAGACATTTTGCAAAAATGCAATAAAATCAAGAATCTTTGATTAGTTAATTCTCTTTAACTTTTATTTAATTGACAAAAGTACGATGTAAACATTTCCAAAGTTTTCACTGACCAACGTAAATGTATTTTGTAAATATGAACACATTTTGATTTTGATGGCTGCAACACACTCCAAAAAAGTTGGGACAGAGGCACGTTTAACATGGTCACATCAACTTTCCTTTTAATTACAATGCTTCATTGTTTGGGAATTAAGGATAGTAATTGTTAAAGTTTTGAGAGCAAAATTTTTGTCCAGTCTCTCTTGAAACAAGGCTTCGGCTGCTCAGCAGTCTGTAATTGTCATTGTCTTATTCTCCTTTTCATGACTGGTCATACATTTTCAACAGGAGTCCGATCTGGACTGCAGGCAGCTCAGCTGTTGTAGCACATGCAGAATGAGAGCTGGCATTGTCTTGATCTAGTAACCATGGACTTCCCATGAAAGACATCATCTTGACGGCAGTATATTTCTCTGTACAACTCCAATATATGCCTCCATGTCAATGGTACCTTCACACATATGCAAGTCACCCATGCCATTTGCACTGATGCACCATGACAGATGTTTGCTTTTGCATCTGTCACTGATGAAAGTCTGGATGGTCCCTTTGGGACTGAGAATTCAAAATCAATTTTTCCCAGAAACAAGTTGAAATGTGGACTCATCTGAGTACAGCACACCTTTCCACTGTCTTTTTGACTATCTGAGATGAGCTCTGGCCCCGAGAACACGGCAGCATCACTGCATAGAATTGATGTATAGCTTTCTCCTGGAGTAACAGATATTCAAGTTGCATTTCTTGATGCAGCAGCAAACTGTTAAGTGACAGCAGTTTTCTGAAGTACTCCTGAGCTCATGTGACTATATTTAACACCACAGCTTGACGGTTTCTTATGCAATGCCATCTGAGGGCTCAAAGGTCAAGCACATTCAACTGAGGTTTCCTGCCTTGCCCTACATGTACTGTGATTTATCTGGATTCCCTGAATCTTTTCACAATATTACGTGTGGTAGTTGGTGAAAGACTTAAATTCTTTGCAATTTTGCATTGCGAAATGTGATTTTTGATTTGTTTGACACTTCTCATGAAATTTGGCACAAAGTGATGAGCCATGATCCAGCTTTGCTTGCAAAAACTGAGATGGTCCTTTTATACCCAAACATGATACCTTGACCCATTACCAATTCACCTGCTTACTGTAAACTTTCAAAACCGTGGATATTCTATAACCGTTTCACTTATTTTGCCTCTGTTCCAACTTTTTTGGAATGTGTTGCAGCCATCAAAATCTAAATTTGTTCAGATTTACAAAATACATTTACATTGGTAAGTAAAAAAATGTGGAAATCTTTTCTTTGTACTTTTGTCAATTAAATAAAATTTAAAGAGAATGAGCAAATCACAGATTCTTGATTTTATTGCATTTTAACAAAATGTCCCACCTTCTCTGGAATTGGGGTTGTACCATCAAGACATTTCTAAACTTTAGCTTCTGGCTAAAATATCAGTTCATAACATTGCTTCCTCCAGTGATAGTCATCTAGTCTAAATCGGGAGAGAAATATGCACAAATCAAGCACTGTTTACAAGCAAAAACAGTCTTAAACACACATGTGGGTGGATTTTGATGTGAGAGGACAACTGAGGAGATGGACTTTATCACTGGAGGAAGCATTATTATGGATTACAGACCAGAAGCAACATGTTATAGTTAAAGTGATGTAATGCTAAATTTCTCCAAATCTGTTCTGATGAAGAAACAAACTCCTCTACATCTTGGATGGCCTGAGGATGAGTACATTTTAAGCACATTTTCATTTTTGGGTGATCTTGTAGTTATGTTTTAACATGAAGGTCATTAAAGGACCGATTTAAAGTGAAGCAAATGAAAACATTTAATGCATGCATGCATCTCTTCTCTGGTCGCTTTCTTTCTTTGAATTTTAATAGAGCAAAACTCTGTTGTTGTCAGTAGTTTATCTTTGTCTCTTTCTCTAATTTGTTTTCTGGTTGTGGTGGTTAAATGTGAAACTCTCAGGTGAAGACTGCTCTACAGGGTAGTAAAGGGCACGCAAAAACCACGGGAGAGGAAGACCGTAAGTGCTGTGCTGCGGTTCAGCCTGACGTCTGTGTGAAAAGCATGTGAATGGAGCCTGGAGCAGCGTGGATCATGCACACATTACTGCTTGACACTTTCAAAGCAGCCTGTTTTCTGTGAGACTGGTGTTTTTAAGGACACAGACATCATGCATTGGTTTAAAGTTTTAGCCTTCACCAAAGTAAACCGCATGCAAGTTCAAGTGGAAAAATGTTTTTTTTTTCAGTGTTTCAAACTGAAACTATATTATTCAAAATATCCTACTATCATGCTTCCACATGATTTCCTGTGGGTTTTGAGGTTGACAAACCTTTTGTTTGGCATGTCTGCAGTCGCAGCCCTGCATGGTGTGTTTTTTACAGTCAGCTCTTAGAGATATAATTGACTAATGTTCAGTTATCCTCCATCTGTCAGAATGCCAGCAAGTCTGAGGATCAGAGTGAGCTGGTCTCTCGTCTAAAGAGTCTGGAACTGGACAACAAGAATCTGCACAAAGGTACGTATTAGAAGACAGACAGACATGATGGCTGTTCCACAATCAAATGAGTTGCCTACCTAGATGGCAATTTCCCACTTCCTGATGTAAAGTCTGTTGGATGCTGCCTTAGGAGTGTTCAAACAACAGTGATTTGTGGTGACAGAGACTGGAGGTCATTCGTTCTCAGTGTGTGTTGAAAGTTGTCAGCGATAAAAGCCACAGAGAATGTGGGCATGTCCATAAATGCAGCACAGCTGAGAAATGTTAAACTTTATGCCAATTATGACTGATGCAGCAACTACTAATCAGAGAGGAGACATTGAAAGTTAAGTGAGAAGATTTACTGTGTGAGATTTCAGTGCATGATTTGTCTCTGCTCACACGCAGCGATATAATAAAAGATGTTCAAATAATTTCGAAACTCTTGGCATTTTAAGTAAGATCATCATATGTGCATTGCATTTTTAGTGACAACGATTTCATGTACATTTGGAATGACATCAGGATGTTGCATTTGTGATCAGATTTTCAAAAGTTGTGCGAGGTTTCCACCGGATGAAAAGTTGTGATATCCAGGCCTAGAAAATTCATGGATTTTTTTTTTCGTTATGCTTAGCTCTACAATATTTTGTCTGCTAGAAATTATTATTATTATTTTATTATATGCTGTTGTTGTGTTTATTAAAATTGAGTGAGGGTTATTATCAGGAGTGCACATACGTTTTTCAGCCTGGTTCTCATATGAGAACCTGGAGATTTGGTTTGGTCCTCACACGGCACATGGTGTGACCCATCAAATATAACAATAAAAAAGTAATTAATAATAATGATAGTGTTATTGCACTTTTAGTTTTTTTTTAATAAAATAATAAAGTGTGATAATACTATGATAGTGTTATTGCACTTTTAGTTTTTTTTTTAATAAAATAATAAAGTGTGATAATACTATTTTATTTTAAAATAAAAAGGGAGTATTAAATGGATAGTTCACCCAAAAATTGGTATACTAGATAAAAGAAGATATTTTGAAGATTGCTGGTAATCAAACAGTTGGTTGAACTATTTTCATTTTCAAACTTAAAATCAGCAAGCTTTTATTTTGGCGGGTTGCCAGCAAGTAAGTCTATGCGCTTCCGGGTTTAGCGGATGGGCGATACCCCTTATTTTGTTTTCGCTACAATACCGATATTTTTCAAGGCAGTATTGTCGATATCGATACAGATTCGATACTTCTGCACTAAACTTTTAAATTATGAAATGTATTAAATTATTAAATTACTAAGAGTAAAATGGGTAATGAAAACCACTTAACTTTGTTTAAAACGCATTTTAACCCATTTAATACCAAATTTTTCCTAGACATGAAAATATCCAAATGATGCGTCATTAGTAACCCTTTGAAATAATCAATTTTCTTTTTTGGAAAAGTGTGTGAATTTTTATTTTATGGTCAGTCACGATTTTAACTTGATTTAATAAAATAACAAACTTAATATCAAATGAATAACTATATAGGCATTAAGAAATAAAGAACTAAATTACTGGAACTTTAAAATTGTAATTGAATGAAGACTATAGTAGTATACCAATAATAAAACATTTGGATTAACTTATTTTCAGTTTTTTAATTGAAATTTTAGTGGTTTTGATATTTGTTTTGGTTTATTATTCATAGTGGTTTATTAGTTTTTGTTTTTCTAAATTTGTACAAATGTATTTCTTTTTATTTTACTTTTGCAGCACGCTTTGAAACATGCAGAGAGATTGACTTGAGTTTTGGCTGAATTTTCAGTTTGTGTTACTGATTGTGTTGAAGCTGCTCGTGATCATTGTGAGATTAACCGAGCTGTTGCTTTACCAGTGGTGGATGATCTGAGAGCCGTGCTGTCCAAACTGGAGTCCAGAATGGCTGTACTGGAAAAGAGCCAAGCGCCTGCTTCAAAGACTGTTACTGTTACAAAGGTAGATCTGAGATCCTGCCATCTTGAACTCAATGATCCCGAGGCCATATTTGTGCACTGAACAAATTCAGCTATCATTCATAATCTGCATATTGTTTCATCTGAAGGCTGCTCCTGTCCAGAAGCCCAAGGTTGAGGAACATAATGGCGCTGATGACGACGATGACGATATTGACCTGTTTGGCAGTGATGAGGAAGATGAGGAGGCAGAGCGTATCAAAGCAGAGAGGGTGAAGGAATATGCCCAGAGGAAAGCCAAAAAACCAGCCCTCATCGCCAAATCCTCCATCCTGCTGGACGTCAAACCTGTATGAGACAGCACTCACAATCTTTAAAGTGTTAAGTATAATTCCTCAGTTTCAAATATATGGGTTTTCATTGATCAGTGGGACGACGAGACAGATATGTTGAAGCTGGAGGAGTGCGTGCGCTCCATACAGATGGACGGCCTCCTGTGGGGAGCTTCTAAACTGGTTCCTGTCGGCTATGGCATCAAAAAGCTGCAGATCAGCTGTGTGGTAGAAGACGATAAAGTGGGAACAGACATTCTGGAAGAGGAGATCACCATATTTGAGGACTATGTAAGTACAGGATGAATCTGAGAGTGTTTCACCCCAAAATCAAAAGAAAAACTGTATGTTGTATAAAGAAACTGAAATATTAGTTGTTTTTTGCATTGTACCTTTGCATTAGATTCTAATTACATTAATCCAGTAATTGTTTTATATATTGCAGTCAAATACTGATAATTTTATAATGGTGTGTGCTTTGCAAATTTGTTATTTATTGCATTAAAGTAACTTTAATAAAATAATTTAAGAAAATGTGTGAGGAAAAATTAAATGTCAAGAAATTAAAGAAATGGCTTAAAATAATTAAATTCATTTTTTTTATTATAATGAATATACCATCACAACAAGAAAAAAAATAGAAAATTGGTCTTAAATATAGGCTACATTTATGCATTATACTGTATATGGTACATTTAAAAGCAAAATCAGTTTTTTTTATAGTTATTGTATATATTGCAGTCAAATATATTATAAAATGATTTTATAGTTCATAAACACTTGACAGATGTATTTATTGCACAACAGTAATTTTTATAAAACCGAGGACAAATGAACAGTTGCCATGAAAATAAATAAATGAAACAATTATATAAATTTAAATATTAATATTAATAAATATTAAATTATATAAATTTGATAAAAGTTATTGTATAATTTATTATAGTTTTTATACGGCAGTAAAATACAGAATTTTTTTATGTATTTAATGGTTGCATTACAGTACTACAGTAACTAATAAATAATTGAGGACAGATTGTGAGGGAATGAACTTAATTGTCATGAAAATAAAATAATGTAAATTATAAATGAATTATAATGGAAATTATCACAATGACAAAAAAAACATTGGGCAAAATGTATTCACAAATATACTTTTAAAATAAAATGTGATTTATTTGTTATGGTTCGGTGAAATCCAAATAGATAAGTTCTTGGACTATTTTTATTTTATTTTTTTAGATTGACATTTTGATTACATTATAAACTGTTAGGAAAAATATTTCAAGATTTTATTGACCAATACTACGTTAATTCCTCATTATGTTGTAGGTCCAGAGTGTCGACATCGCTGCCTTCAACAAGATCTGAGCCTCTCGCCTCAAACAACCACCTCACACTGGGTTACTGCTGCTTTTATATCACACGGTTACCAATAAACTGTTCAGCCACGTGAACCAGCTTGCTGTATTGACTGTCTTTATTTATATGCTCTTTATTCATGTCCTGGTTTTACAATTTTCCATTATATTCATTTTTTTTTTTTTTTTTTTTTTTTAATGGTAAGTTCACCCAAAAATGAAAATGGTCATTCCAACAAAAAGATATATCGAGGTCAGAGCGCTACTTTTCATAATGTTGCATGGCCAGTTTAGCCTCTACAATAACAAGCCACAAGAGAAAAACACAAATGCAACACAAAGGTGAGCGAATGACATGCTTTTGATTTTGGGGTGAACTGTCCATTGAAACAAAATGAGAGCACATAATGTATAACTAAGCTGAACGTTCGAAAGAGTTTCAAAGTAGATCCAAGTCCGACCCAGAAACCAGGATAGAGAGGCTGAGTGAATGTAGTTTGCTCTCGATGCAGCAAAAACATGGTATCGTCTGCCAGAGAAATGCAATAAAACACCAGCATTCCAGCTCTGTGATCGAGATGCACGCCGGCTCTGTGAGGCATTGGAGTGTGTATTTCTACACTAAACTTATTGTGCTGGAACAAACAAAGAGAATCTGCGAAATCTAAGCTCCACGATTTTGAGTTGCATCCCAGTTTTTGGTCCATATTTCCTCCAGTTTTGTAGGAAACACTAATAGAAACTCCTCCACCGCCTCTCCACTCCACCTCCCAATATCCATGTCCAGACAGACCCTCTTTGCACAAGACTTGAGCCCAGCTGATGAAGTGATCGGGTACGGCTGTGGCTCGTGGTCGGTCGTGATCTCTGTACGGTCTCCAGAAAGGCGGAGGAAAGAGTTGGCTGTGTTTGGATCTAATGTCAAATCACAGCAGTCTGAAAGAGAGAGGATACTTTACTAAGTCCCTTTAAGTCATGTTATTCGGTGGCTCAATGTGTCTGGCTTCCGGTGTCATCCGCTTCCAGCTATTTTTAGCTGTATAAAACCGCTCATTTTGCAGAGTGATATTTCAAACTGGTGTTTTACTTTATTTTAATGTATTATCTTAATTGGTAAAACGGTTTGCACTACAAACCACTGTTCGTAATTACTGCACTTTGATATTTTTCTCGTTATTTCCCTACAGCGGCTAAAGAACCGGAAGTCTCGCACATCGACAGAAAACGGCTTGCTTTCGCATTGAGAAATAAGATGGATAGTAACCAGAGCTACTTCCTATGGAAGAGCGTACAAAGCTGCAATTGTGAGAAAATTGTGTGGTTCAGGGAAAAAAGTAAGAATTGTAAGAAGTTTAAAATTGTGAGTTTATATCTCACAATTCTGACTTTTTTCAGAATTGTGAGAAATAGGCTAAACTCATCTGCGAGAAACAAACTCACAATTGACTATCTCACAACTCCCAATTCCCAACTTCGCAATTGTGAGAAAGTTGCAATTTGGAAAAATCTGAATTGCAAGATATAAACTTGCAATTCTGAGAGGAGTCAGAACTGAGAAATAAACTCGCAATTGTGAGAAGGAAAAAAGTTTTCTTTTGTTTTTTGTAATCACGTGGCAGAAACAGGCTTCCATATCTAACTGCAGCTGCAGTGATATTCCGCCATTATTGCATGTTGCACTTTCTCCTATTCATAAGTAATATGAGTGTACCGTCTTTGAATCTCTTAAGTCTTTGGTCTCATCCAAGAATGAACGCTGAACTCACACTGTAAGAAATCTCCTCTGGTCCTCGGCTCAGTCTTGTGTAAATGTCTATGGGCTGGAAAAGGTCAGTGAGGTGAATTACGTCAGAAGAGTTTTGATGTGCAGTGGTAAACATGGGGGAGTTGATGCGGTTTGCTGACTCACTTGCTGGGAGGGATGTGAGTGTCCGTACCTGTATCACTGTTCAACGGACAGCTCAGGGAGTTTCCAGCTGACTGATTGTGCCCTTCATCAACTGTAAATATAAGGGTATCCGCTGTCAAGAGCCGTTTGTGCATCACCTGCTGATGTTTATATCATTCTAAGTAATCGGGTGTTGAGGCCATGATTTTGCCAAGACAGACATGTTTCAGGATCAACATCTTTTGTTGATCCCGGATCAACATTACTGTCCAAAAATATAGACTTAACCCAATCCCTACCCCTAAACATAACCCTACCCATAAATGATCCCTAAAATCCCTAAAAAAGTTTACAATTACAAATAATTATAATTTTACAATTTAATTAATTTAAAAAAATATTTTTTTGTATTATTTTACTAATTATCTTTCATTTTTGACTGGTATTTATTATTAGAAATAATATATTTTGTTTTTAAATAAAAAAAATTAACTTCATTTTTATTTTTAAATATTTAAAAATATCTATTTGTATGTCATTTGTAGCATTTACAATGTGTTATTTTTTGTTTTCGTGTTATTTAACTACATTTTCTAATGATTTTAATGAATTTTGAACATTTAATTAATGATATGAGTTCATTACAAAATACATTATTTTGCATTATTTATAAAACTATTTTGAATGTCTAATTTGTCAGTTAGTGAATTTATTAAAATGTTTATTTTCAAATCAGTTCATAATTCCTTCATGCATTTAAGTGGTTACGAAGTCCACCATAGTCAGCTACTTTGTGTATCTGAGTTTCTACACTCACCTAATTCTGCGATCTTTGTTGATTCTCTGTCACAGACTTCGTTGACTTTATCTCTCAGCTCTGTGAGAGCTTTTCTCAGTATCAGCAAAGAGAAGTATGGATGGACGTCGATGCTGGGTCGCCCCCCAGCGTCAGGAGGAGCGCAGAGCATCTTATAGTTCTGCACAGGTGAGTCAGACAGGTAAAGCTAGCGTGTTAACGAACAGCAAGTAAGCAAACCCACACCTTTATATTTGCTGGGCCAAATTTCCCAATAGAGGCTAAACAAAGAGAATGCTATGCCATGGCCTTGTGGTTCCCATAGTGTTTCAGTTTCGTAACCTCCAGCACAAATAAACTAATTCAGTTCATGTTTCAGACCCAGGACTTTACCTGCAGGAAATGGAAATGATCCTCAGTGTTTGAGAGCGCCTCTAGCTCGGCCTCTCCTCTCCTGTGTTCAATTATCTGTTGATTCAGTCGTTCCAGAAGCTTCTCCGTCTGGCCGAGAGCTGTCCTCTCCTCACCTCTGATCAGCTCTTTCACCTCCAGATGCTTTCTTTCAACGGAGCGCTGCAGTCTGGTGAAGATCTTTTCGCTGTCATCTTCAACCGCTTGTGCTGAACGCTAAGGCAATGACGGAAAGGACACCGTTTAACCTTCTGGCATTGTTCAATTATGGGTCACACACTTAGGCTGATGATACACGGGCCAACTTTTTTTGAGCGATGTTGCTTGGGCACTTTTCCATTGAGAATTTCTATCTGGATACTTTAAAGGGGTCATATGATGCTGCTAAAAAGAACATTATTTGGTGTAATGAAATGGGATTGTTACAAAGCTCATCGGTCTGAAAAGCGAGGTGTGCTTTGATTGGCCAGCTATCCAGTGCGTTGTGATTGGCCCGAATACCTCAAGTGTGTGACGGAAATGTTACGCCCCTTGCCATATTGTCATGCCCTGTCCGACCAGAGCGACGAGACAAAAACATTAAAACCCATTATAAACGAGGCATTTGTTGCATCCAGTGGGGACATCATTATGGATTATAATGACTTATACTGTCTTTTTACGCGTTGCGTTGCATCGCGCCGCGTAAACATAAAACCATGTCTGCATTTGTGATCGGAGAAATGACAAACAACAAGTGCTACTCTACACTGCTCAAAAAACTCGCGTTTGAATCATCAGTGGCAAATCCTTTAAATATAAAAAAAAACGTACTTACAGTCTGTGAGTCAGAACAGACGGCATTGTAGTCTACTCTTCCAGGATCAGGAAACAGTCCTCCATAAAATGCGCTGCACACATCTGAATATTTGGGTTGAAGTGTTCTGGAACAGTGTTGTAAATACAACTTAACCACTGATTTCTAGTCGTGTCTTCTTTTGGAAGACCAAACAAAATAGTTTCGCTTTCAAAACGAAACAGCGTCACACACAGCGGCCTTGAGTGAGAGGAGGCCTAGAGTGAGCGGAGGCCGGCTTGAGTGAGCAGAGCGGGCGGGCTTGAGAACAGCGCAGCTGGCGGATACGACGAAGGAGCGTCCGGCGGGCTTGCGGCAACCACATATGACGTCCCCAGGCTGGACTCCGCTTCGTCCACGGTGAAAGCCGATCCGGCGATCCGCAGCGCGAAGTTGATGTATTTCCTCTGCGACCAGCACGGATCAGCTCCAGGCATGACGAAGCGATATCATCCTCTTTTGGAAGACCAAACAATGTAGTTTCACTTTCACAACGAAACACAGCGTCTCCACAATATGGTGGCGGTGGCAACAACAATACTACAGCGAGAATAAAAGTTATGCCTTCTTTCTTTTGCGTGAACATTTGGGCGGCGTTATGCAAATCTTCCCACATCGTGATGTAGATATGTGCGGGCGTGTTTAAACAAGGCATTTTAGGTAGGCGTGGTTGACACTTAACTTTTATAAAGAATATCTCTTTGGATTTGAGACTTTAGTCTTTGCAACTTTACAGATCTTCTTTATGCACCAAGAGCTTGTAACACTCCAAAGAGAAAGGAAACATTTAAATCGCATCATATGACCCCTTTAAATTGGTCGTGGGCCCTGTCTCTCACCTGGTTGCCTGTTGAAGGCGACATTGCCCAAAGTTGCCCCGTGTATCATAAGCCTTACTGTTCTACAACTTTTTTTTTTCCAGAAATTTTTCAACATTAGTGCATTTAGGTAAAAAATTTAGCAACTGTATTTAAAATCCAAAGAATGAAGGCAGTCCATCTTATTTTGGAATGTGGAAATAAGCTTATAAGTAAAATATAATGTGAGTAAAATATAATACTAAATGTAAATCAAAATAAGCTGCTTTTTTTATTCATTATTTTGATTTTCATGAATTTCTGATTTATTAGCCAATAAACTAAACTAAAGATAACTAATAGAATAAC